CGGTCCACAACTTACACTATATAGCCTTAGAGGCAAAACATAGCTAAGGGGCTTAACAAAAACTAACTTATGCCCGATGGGTAATAACTAGGGATGGCAATAGGTCGGTGTAGGGCGCAGAGCCGGTGTGAGTTGAGCTTTAACTCACAAAATTTTTAATTCGTCCTATTTTGCATAGTCGCACTTTTTATTTTCAATCCGTCCCACCCCGCTCCGCTGAACCCGCCCCAATAATTTTTTAAATATTTTTCCCACCCCGCTCCGCTGAACCCGCCCTAATAATTTTTTAAATATTTTATTTTTTTTAATTATGTTTGATACTGAAAATAAAATTCATAAAAATAAATTCATTCTTTCATTAAGTTATATTAATTTAATAGGATAGTGACTTAAATTTTTATTTTTTAGAGTCAATTGAAAAACATACAAGAAATTGTATTATTTTTTATTGAACCATTTTTATTTATTATCTTGAATATTTTAATAGATTTAATAAAATTATCTTAAGAAATAATGTTGTATCACTCTATAACATGTAAAAAGTTACAATAAAATTTGAACTCACATAAAATCACATGTACCCTCAATCCACCGCGTCTCATATTAATTTTTTGTAAAAAAAACACTTCAATTTACCCCGCATTTGCACTGCCCCACGTAACCTTAACCCCCGCCCCAGATATCCTTGAACCATTTGAAATGTTTTGAACGTCTATGAATAAATGGGACCAAAAATCAAGAGCATTTTGTTGAAATTAAATCATTTTATAAGATTCTTCTCATGAAGATAAAATATATGGATAGAAAAAATTACTTAAATATATAACTTACAATATATTAAATTTTTTTATAATTTGAAGAATTTTTAAAAAATTACTCTCAACTATTTTTGGATACATCATTTTACGCGATATATCGATCTGATACATCACTTTATGCAATGTATCGATTGGATACACCATTTTATGTGACTTATCGACTAAATATATCACTTTACAATATGTATTGAGATCTATACAATATATCAGAATATTGAGTGATGTATTCATAATCAAATACGATGTATCCAACGATATATCGAGAATCAAAAGACGATATATCAAGATATTTTGGGAAATATCCAAATTCCACTAAATTTAAATAATTTTTCGTAATTTGAAGAAGAATAATAATATGATGTAATGGGCTTTTAACACTATAAACTTTGCGTAAAATTTTCATAAAAATTGTTACAAGAAGATTGATACATGACAATCTATAGACTAAATAGGCAACAAATAACCCTCTTATTTTAATTTTTTGGGTTAATATTTTTGTATTTATTTTGTCACTTTAATAACCACATTTTGTTCCTTAAAAAGAGAAATTTTCAACTGATTTTTTTCAAAACCCCCATTTCTTCTCTTTTTCCCTTTTTTCCCTCCCTGTTTCGACTTTAATATTTTTATCTTCTTCACTTAAATATTTTCATTAGAGATCAATTACAATAATAACTCTTTCGCATTAAGTAACTCCTCAAATCACCCCCAAAATAAATTTTTATTGATTATTTGTGATTTTTTATTTTTTGAAGGTTTTATGTTTCTAATATCTTGTCATTGAATACAAGTTTTTTAAAACAAATTTTATACTTTCTGGTGCATTGTATTTCAAAAGCTGGGTTAAGAATAATTATTCATTCTGAAAAGAGAAAATGTGTATAGAGTGGTGAAGATTACAATGATAATATTAAATCTTTGGAGGAAATGATGAACGGAATAACGATATTGTTGAGTTTGAAAATCGTCAATTATGAGTATGAATAATAATAATTTTGATTTGAAATGATTTCACCTATTTCAACACATGTAAACTTACTTCAGAAACGTTTGAATCTTATTTAAATGTTAAACATGAAATTTGTATATACATTGAGGTAAAACTCTATAACAATTTAATGTATACCTCTTTCAATTGAATGTATACATAGTAAATATTACTATATATACGCATGGACGCCTAATACTAAATGTAGATTATGCAAGTGATATACAAAAAAAATATGGAAATAACTAGTGTATACACATTATAGGGAAAACATTTATTTGATCAAATATATTAAACTGAATACATGAAGCAGCAACATAGTTGAGGACCTAAAGTAAAACTTCAATTTTTGGCCTAAATATAAATAAACTTTTTATGCGTATTTATTCAAAATTTATTTTTCTTACATTATTTAGATGAAAATTATTAGTTATTTAGTTTTAGGTAAAATTTATCAACTCAATATTGAGAAACATTCTCATAATGAGGCAATTATCATATGAATTGTTAACATAATTCTACAGGTAATAAGTTCACAAATATTAAATAAAGATAACAATTAGAATTATAAAATCCAATTCAAAAAGTTGATGACTTCATATACCCCACTTTAATATGTTTGTTGTAATGCTTGAAATTAAAATTTAAAAGAAATAATAATAATCATTTGAATTTACATTGTTCAACCTATTTTTACTATTGATTCATACTTTTGACAAAGTACAAAAGGCGTTAAAACAGATATATAAATTTTTTGAAACTTATTTTTATATTTTTTACCATAAATAATCAATTTTTCCTATAAAGAATTTAATACATAATGTATTCTTGATAAAAAAATTTGGCCCCCCAAAAGGCATAAGCATTGGTTTTGTAGAAACCAAACGACGTATATTATAGTTTACATTTACACGATCAGTATTATCCATTATATTATATTTATTATATTTACAATGAACAATGAAAATTTTTATTTTATAAAACAATCGGTTTGATGTGTTTCCATTTTTTTTTCTAATTATATCTTTATATAATATTTCAAAATATTCTTTTACTCTTTATCTTTATTATTTAATTTTAATCAAACCTCCTACCCTAGAATAATTAAAAATATTTTAATAAATTTATAATTATAATACATCATGATACAATCAAGTCACACAATTAAAATATTAAACAACAACAAACAATACAGTATAGCCAAACAATGTGTCTACCATGCAATATAGTATAGTAAAGTATAATACAGTACAATATAATAAATTATAAAACAATAAGTAATAATGATCCAAACAAAGCGTAAGAGTCTGTTTGGTATTATTATTGGGAGGCTAGAAGTGGTTTTTCTTTTAGAAATAACACTTTTTTTGTTTGAAAAACTAATTGGTTGGCAAATTCTTAAAATTGTTTTTAAAGAGAAGTAGTACCAATTTTTCTGATGTTGGAAAGAAATTTTAAAAATGTGTTTTAAAAAAGAAGAAGTAGTAGAAGCAGAAAATTATTTTTTTAAAACTAAAATCTCTTTTACTTGTATATATATTTATCAATGTATCCCTTATTAATTAATATATCTCATAAGTTTGATTGATTGTCATTCAATTTTTTATTTTTATATGATAAATTTTTTATTTTATATTATTATTTATACTTTATATTGTATATATTACTTTACACAATAAGAAATAAAAGTAACAACAATATTTTTGGAGGATTAGAAAATAGTAATAACTAAAGTTTTAGACTCTCCCAAAAATGTAATAACAAATAACAACATTTACTTTTCTTAATTTACATTTTTTTTTAAAAAAAAATTAAATTTCTTAAAACTTTCGAGTACTATAACAAAAAGGAAAAATGCACAAGTACCCCTTAGGTTATGACCGAAATTTCAAAGACACACCTTAACTAAATTAAGGTTCTATTACCTCCCTGAATTTTTTTTTTTGTAATTTTTGCACCTTTTCGGCTAATTACGTGACATCCAAATATCTCTCAAGTGCCTTAATTGCGTGGAGTCATGGAGTGTGCCACGTAAGACAAAAGGTGTACAAAATTACAAAAAAAACTATAAGTTCAGAGAGGTAATAAGAACTTAGTTTAGTTAAAGCATGTCTCTAAAATTTTGGTCATAGTTTAGGGTGTACTTGTACATTTTCCAACAACTACTAAAATTGAATTCAAAAAAATATTGAGTAACAAATAACAAAAGATTCATCTTTTCAATATTTTTTAATAATATTTATTTATGTATGATATTAATTTAAAATTTGAACATGCACATTTTAATTAATAACACTGATACATGTATTTTTTCGTAATTTAATTATCAAAAACACTTTTTAAAAAAAAATAAAATAAGCCAAACAGAAATTGCTTATCAAAACATTTTTTAATAATTTGCGAGTATAAATGTTTTTTTTTTAAAAATATTTTCTAAAACGTTATATTGTAAATGCATTTTAAAAAATAAGCAGTTTTTAACAACAACGTCAAATAGACTCTTAATATTAATATGAACTGAGTTTCTTAACATAACTTCTAACAAACAATTTTATAGATTGTAGACTCGTAATAAATATCCTTTAAAAGAATTATAGTCATAATTAAATATTTTTGCTAATTTTATTGAGTGAAATAATTTTAAATAAACTTTCTTTCTTGTTTCAAAGAAGAACTAGTTGAAAGTTGGATAAGAGAGATGAATATGTCAATTCATCCTCTTACTATTCTTGGTACTTCATCAACTTGTCCATCTGTGTAGATTATATATATTTGAGGAAAATAATATATTTTTAAATTATGTGAAATTAAATAAAAATATTATCAATTAATAATTGTTCTAAATATACTTCTATCATTAATAATTTATCTAAAAGTACCTTTGTGATTAATATTTAATTCGTTCACTTTATTTGTTTCAATATAATTAGATATATTTGTTAAGAAAATAAATAATAATACACGTATTTTATCAAATTATGTCATATTAAATATTAATATTTTAAAAAATAATTATTTAATGTTGAAACTAAAATATGAAAAAAATTATCATATTTTCTTAATAGGTTAAAAATATTTAAACAAGTAAAAAGAACTTTATTTAAAAATAAGTGATGTTGGAGTCTAAATATCTGTATATCCATAAAATCACGATCGCAATTATGATACATACAATGTTTTGGGCTAAATAAAGGTACCCTACCGCCTAACACCCACTTTATCCGCTTTTTCTTGTTTGATAGGCGAACCTTTTAATGACCAAAATACCCTTTTATTGAATTTGTGTAAAACAAACCAAATAGTTCCAAATGGTTGCGTCTTCTTAGAGTTGTAACATCCTTTGAAGATTCTTGAAAAAATAAATTCTTCTCACAGTCACCACTTTTCTTGTAAACCCCCACAAACCCATTTGGAAGAAAACAAAAATTGACAGTTTTCTTTTTTTGTTTTCTGAAGAAAAAATGTATGACTTTGGGGATGAATTGATAATTGATAGCTTTAAAATTCCATGGTTGATTTGGATTCAGTTAGTGGTGATGATTCTTCTTGTGTTGCTTCTTTTCTTTGGGTTTAGTGTTTTGGATCTTTCAAATAACTCTACTTCTGGAACTTCTTCGCAAGGTTCTTCTTTGCCCTCTAATGCAATTACAATCCTTCAGGTTTGAGAAAAGAATTCCTTTTCCCCTTATTTATTTGTGTGGTTTCTTTTTTTGTTTGTGATTAAAGTGGAAATGAGAACTTTTGTTTGATTTGTTTCTGAGTTGATTGTGGATTTCTTTTTGTTACATTAAGTCTGAAATTATATGTTTTAATTGCTAGATGATTAGTACATAGTAGTTTTACCCTTTTAATTTACTGTTCTTTGATGTTTAATTTCAATTGCAGAGATGAACAAAAGTACTATCGTTGATTGTGCATTGGAAAATGCTTGTTATTTTGAGTGTGGGCCAATTGACAAGGGAAAAGGTCAAATGAGATAATAATTAATAATAGAAATGATACATTCTTATAATGACATTTCTTATAATAGTATAATAACAAATACTTTTGAATATTTGTGAGATGTAAAAGCTTTTTTTTGAGTAAATTCCGGTGTGTACATCTTCAAATTCTTTTTTCTGTAATTATTCGATAATGGAAAAAAATGATTCATCCTCCATTAGTTTTTGAGAAAAAAAAATGCATTTTTTTTGAGTGGTGGCTGGTGGGATTGGTTGTTGTCAAAGTAAAGCACAAGTCTTTGTCAAGTTAGGAGAATTAGATTGCTTATGCCACCGGCCAAAGCATGGAATTCTCAACTTTCACTTTTCACTTTGCAAAGTGTTAAAGTATGACAAAAGTCCCACATCGGTGCTTAATGAGATGGGTGGATTCCTTATAAGACTTGATCAACCCTCCTCCTCCCTTTGAGTTAGTTTTTGGGGTGTGAGTTAGGTCTAATGCCTAATTTCACACAAAGGTTGATAGTAGTATTAATATTTTCTACCAAAAGCAAAGGTTGTAGATAATGGTGAACTCTTGTTCTGGACCGCTAGATGTAGGCAATTTAAGTGAAAGCAAAATGAAATAGAATAGTGTGTTGAAAACATGAGGTCTCAGCTATCCCAAAGACAAAAACATTGGGGGGTCGTTTGTTAGAAAAATAAATAATGTAGGAATTAGTCGTGTAGGGATTAATCACGCAGGGATTAGTAGTGCTGAGATTAGTAATGTAGGGTATATTTTTTATCAAGTGTTCGGTTCATTGCTTTTGACCTCATCTTGTGTTTGGATTAAAACTCTTCAACTAATTTCTTTTCAATTATACCCTTGCATTATTATGAGATTTTCTATTTTATGTAATCTTTCAAGGTAGATAATTGCTGGACAATATTTTTTATGGTCTTCTAACTAGCTAGGGAAGAACAATTTTATTGTCATGTTTGCTAATTTTTCACTTGAATTATTTGAGGCTAAACAATTGTTATCTTAATAAATTAATTACTTAAAAAATGTTAAATTTTTAATCTAGAATAGATAGACCATCTATTTTTAAAACCGAAAATACGGTTAACAATAGTAAAATCGAATAAATCATCTACATTTACAATAAAAATTGCAAGTTGTAGTTTTAATATGTATGCAAATTTATGAATTTTTTCAAAATACAAATAATTAGAAATCAACAAATAATGTATTCAATTCTGATCACAAACGTCATGTGGGGATATATTTGTCTTTTCAATTAGTAAATGTTAAACAATTCACATTTTAAATATTGCATTTATTTATCAACAAACAACTCTCTCTAAATAATAAAATGTGTTAGCTAATTTATTTAAAAAATTTACTAATATAAATATAAAATATAAAATCACAATAAATAAATAAAATGATTTGAGGGATATGTTTGTCTTTACATAGATAATCCTATGGTATTAATCCAATGTATTACTAATACCACCAAATGGAAGGTACTGGTAATACATCCGATAATACCATGTAGGGTCTATAACTATTCCATGGATTAGTTATACTTGGGCCCAAACATTCTACCAAACATAATACTATACTTAGGCCCAAATATTCTACCAAACATAATACTAAATAATACCATACATAATACATAATACATAATACATGTGACTATTTCTCTTAATACCTCCCACCAAATGACCCCTAATTGATTTTTTCCAGCTATCCTAACATTGATGGACAAAGTTACTTGGTACTTTTTGTTGGAGGGAGGTACCATGTATCTCATGGAATTAGTCGATGTGCATGGAAACTGGGCGGCCGGAACACTATCAAAAATATAAAATGAAGTAGATAGTTGTAGTTTTGTTGGAAGTCATTTCATTTTCCTTGAGTATGGCATAAAATACTTTCTAAGTTTGAACCTTCATTCTTTCTCTGGATAGATTGGGCAGTTGTTTTCCACTTTTACCTATAATAAACTTACTTTTGCTCACTATTTTGATTTTGTGATACAATTTGTGTTCGAAGTTTCAAATTAAACAGCAATAGAGGCAACTAGCGTAAGTCTTGAAATTACCATTTTGCCAAATATTTTTTGTGCTTAATGTAGTTTAGAAGAATGATAATGGAAAGTCTATGGTTTAATTAAGATCGACCCATTATATCATTGAATACTCCTCGTTGTGATTCTTATAATTGAAATGTTGCATCGGTGATTCTTCATTTTGGTGTATCCATCCAGCTAAATGACTGGTCTTTGTTCATGCCAGCTTCCGAGGTTGTTTAAAATATGAGAGCGGAGAGAGAGATTGAGAAGGAGAGTAACAAGACAGATATACTATTAAGACATGTGTTCTTATCACCTAGATTTTGCTTGCATTAGCTGGCTACCAAAAGTACACAGAGATATTCTATGAGGTGCTTGTTAGCATGTCCATTTTTATTTTTTTATATTTAATGAAATATTTTATTTGCTTAGCACCCCTTGTACTATGTTTTTTTTTTTTTTGTTTTTGTTTTGAGACCTCTTCTTTCATAAGACTTCTTTGTTTTGAGATATTGTCTGTAACACGGCCAAAAATAACTGTGTATGATAGGGCACTTTCTTGTTTTTTACAATAGGTGTTGTTAGGACCTACAAAGATTTATCCTGTATTAGACATATTAAAGAGAGTGGTACAAGAAGTAGACAAAAAAACGTATATTTTATTAAGCAGTTATATTCTATTCACCCTTTTTCTTCACTTAATAAGTTTCACCCCATATTTTTTTTTCTATGAGCTAGTTAATTCATTTACTTAATAAATGTGTTCATTTGTTTGTGATTTGAGATACTTTCAATTTAAGTACCAAAATTATGGTTTTGTTTTCTGTGAATAAATTGTCCTCTGATTGACTGTTGTTCAGCTAGAAACAGAAAGATTCATGGTCAATTATCTCTTGGTAGTTATTGCTGTTTTTTCCAAGATTATATATTTCTACGCTTTGCTTACAATGAGAGTCAATATGGCTTTGGGTGGGTAGGAGGATCTGGAGGTTGAGGATTAGCGTAAAATGTTAGTATGTAGTTGAGCGCTAATTACTTTTTCCGTATCAGTATTATTATGTTATTATTACTCTCCTACTATTTTATTCTTCAATTTTATTATTGCATGTTTCCTTTGCTTCAGTTATCGTATTATTTGTTGTTGCTAGTGTTCTTTACTCCATTATTGTCAACACGGCTTTGTCACTATTGTATATCCTTTTCATGCCAATTTTTTTTTTCTTTTCTTGACTCGAGGGTCTTTTGGAATCAACCTCTCTACTCTTACAAAGTAGGAATAAGGTTTGTGTTCATATCGCCCTCTCCTAATCTCACTTATGGGATTGTACTGGTATGTTGTTCTGTTGCTTACAATGAGAGGCAAAGTAGATGATATTTTGGCTGAAAAAACTTAGTTTTTAGCTGGAATAATGTTGTAACTAACTAATTGTATTTACTCTAGTTACTTAAATGTATCTGCAACTTAGTGTTTCACAGTACATATAATCTGTGAAAGTTGTTAACTTGATGTAACATGCAATTGCGATTATTTCCTTTTGTTAAATTCGAAGAGCTCTTTTTTCTGAACATTTAGTATTTTCAGCATCGGAACCTAAACCAACATGCCAAAGGAGAAAATGAAGCTAGCACTAGCCGTGAAATCAGCGCAGATGAATCTCAAGAAAGAGAAGGATCTGCAGAAAAGGACACAGCCATTTTTAAGTGTTGTGTACGTACAGAGCACCCTTGCAATTACTTTGGACTAGCCAAACAAGCATTTCTCAAGTGCTTGGGCTTTGATTCCGATCGCGACAATTGTAACACCAGAAGACATGCTAAAGAAGACTAATGTATGCTCTTCTTCACAAGTTCTCTCCCTCTCCCCCTACCCCACTACAACACCTCATCTTTTCATAGTAAAGATAAAAAAAAATTAAGAATTTGCGGTGGTGGTTCGTAGAATAGTCGAGGTGTGCATGCTTGCCCAGACACCACCGCTCTAAGAAAAAATGACATGCTTTTCCAAGTGTTTCATATTACTTGTTTTCCAACTTTAGTACCTACTTTGTTGTTAAAATGTAATATGTGGTTTTGCAGGGGAAGATGCTATATTAGTTTTAGGTTCTTGAGATGCACAAAGGTTCAGGTCTTTGAAAGAGTAGATGCTGGTAGGTATTTATAAGTGTATATTGCAAGTCACATGACTTTTGAAGCCTCCCCCCTTCCCCTCTTCTTATTTTTTCATAGAAACGTGTAACTCTACTCACCAAGGTTAGGACTGACAGGAAAAATTATCTAGTGGTTTTGTGCAATTTAATTCTAACCCTCAATTATTGTTCTTAGCATGTAGTAGCTCTTTCATGTGAGCAAAGATTAACCTTTCATTGATTTGTCTACTATACAATTGCGTATCTACCATGTATATATAGAATAGAAGATAACCAGCTTTTTATTGAGCACTATGCCTTGCTAATTGACATTATATGAGCTTGTAATATCTACTTTTATCAAAGTTATGGGTTCATATATATATATATATATATATATTTATGTTTCTATGATGAACTTTTACAAATAAATTTTTGCTCTGCATATAACTTTCGCATATTTTCTTCAAAACATACTTCCACACAAAAAAACAGTATTCTCTTTTATTGGGATGCTATGTCACATTATTCACTTTTTATTAAAAAATTAACTTTTAAGATAACTCTTATATTACATTTAGTAAATAAAATTTTTGAATTATTTATCACTTTTGGTTTTTTTACTTAGCATACTAAGAGATAGATATTTTTTTCTATTATTACATTTAACGTCAATTATTTTTCTAAAATCATTGTTCTTTAATTTCTTAGAAAATAGGAAAAGTGGACACCTTTAATTGGAAGTGCTATATTTTTTCAAGTTTTTAATTTGGGAACTATAGTTTTTATTCCTTTTGTTCAATTTTATATCTTTACTTGTCCAGATTAGTTTGACATATAAAGATAATTTTACTATATCAATCATTGAAAATAATAAATATTAAATTTTAAAAGCTACAGCGGCATTATATTATAATTAATAATAAGTATGAATTAGAAATTAAGTAATAAGTTATCAGTTGAATTTTTAAAGTAAACAAGTAACAAATAAATAATTATTTATAAGGTAATGATTAGATAAAAATGGACATAGGGAATAGTTGCCAAAAAAAATGTGTAAAATGAGTTAGTTGATACAATATTCTTGTTAAGAGTACGTGAAAATTGTTCTCTAATGTCATTCTTTTTTTCGTTCACTTTTACTATTTTTTAATTTTCACCTTGACATTCTATAAGAATTTAAAAAATGACTATTTGAAAAATGATTTAAGAATAAATACTTAGTGTTAACCATAATAACAGAAAATAAATATGAGTTGTTTAAAAATGTTTATGTTGCGTTATGTAATAATTAGTTTTTACTGGTATATCTTATGGGTTGTTTTAGAAGTTCTTTTTTTAATTATTAGTAAAAAGGGGACACAACATTCATTACGAGAGAAAGATACTTTTTATGAAGTGTAATTTGAGGAAAATATATAAAGTTGGTTGATATTGTAGATTTAAAACAAACAGAAGTAATATTATTAGATAATTTTTTAAACACAAGTGACGATCTAGAGCAGTGTTTAAAAGACTTTGCTATGGCTCGCACAGGTCGGCACTCTAGCAAAACGCATCGTTACTCAAGTGTGGGATTTAATTCTGTAAGACTTATGCCCTAAGCACTCGATTTTACGTCCTGAGCACGCCCAATGCCCGACATTTAGAGCTCGCCTAATAGATCTTACGCAAATAAGTGTTAAAATCTTTAGTTAACATTATTGATCCTTATAATACTTGAATAAATGAATGATACTTAATAATTTTTAAATCTATAGAATTTAGAAGATTGAGAGTACTCGAATATTTAGTTGCAGTATCGCATCTTTACTATTTAGTAACACTTACGTAACATCTCTTTTAAAATTACGTAGCAAATTTTTTTTTACTTATTATTGATCTTTATGATTTTGTCATATGTCTCAAAACTATCATATTTTATTTAGATATTTGAAAGTAATTTTATTTTTATCCATTATAGAGTGATGTTTTTATTATAATACTATTATTGATTATTTTCTATATAATAATTTTTTTTTAGGAATAATGATTTTTTTATTATTAAAAAATTTAAGATATTAGATTATCTATACTTGTATAATCATGTTAGAAGTTTTATATTGTATGAATTTTCTTAATCATGTTTGTAATTATTTCAAACTATTGATGCATTCTTATAATTTTGTGTTATTATATTTTAATGTAAATAAATTTTTTAAGATCCATAAATTTACGCCCCACGTTTCGAGACATACGTTTTTCTACACTAAATAAAACGTCTCACTTCACCGTCACTCCCCCGCCTTTTAAAAACTGATCTAGAGTACTTCTAAAGAAATTACTCTGAATTTGTTTTTGTGTAAATTTGGCTAGTGTACTATACTTATAAAGACATTTTTTTTAATAAATCTTTAATATTAACTTTCTACCGTTCATATTTAAGATTACAAGAAGGATAATACGACTGAGTATTACATAAAATTGTGAATAAGAATTGCATATATTTGGTTGGTGGTGATATCTCTTAATAACATAATTGATACTCCCCTCTTTTTTTTTTCATAATTTATCTATTATTTCAAAAAAAATTATTTATTCTTACTTGTAATTTTTAATATATAAAAAACAATTATTTTATTTTATATTTTTGCCTTTTACCATTAATTATTTACTAGGTAATGATCACATATATCACTCATTAAAATTTGTTGAGTTTCGAAATTGTCAAAGTAGTGGTGGAATTCTAAAAGTATATAATTCGAATTAGGATAATCTGTATGTATAGCTACTTTAACATGTTTCTGTGAGTGTATAAAATGTTTTTATGCGATAAAGAGCCAATGGTTATATCTTGATAAAAGCATAGATTATAATCTTTTATCACAAGTCATGTTTCACAATTGTTCAATGATAAGAAATTTATATCTAGTTCCATGAGTTGGGATATACTAAGCCTATATCCCCTATATTGGGTCAAGTTTGTGCACTCTTGAAATATATTTTTCGGATATAATAAGTTTATATCTCCTATATCTACCATAGTCGTAATATTTTACTTTTATTTTTATTCTGAAATTTATATAGTAAATGATATTTTCAAAAGTTATATTATAAATTTTATTTCTAATTCAGTATTATTTTACAAGAACTTTGACATTTTTTTTGTTAATAAGCCATCACCTCTGTGTGTACTCTTGGTGTGGTAAGTTAGGCTTGGCCCCCTACTATGTAGGTTAATCCAAAAACTTATTGTAACGCCTGTTTCCGTCGTTATAGAAAAGTCAACGAAAATTTTTTTTGGGTCGAAAAAAATTTTTAGTTGTAATTTAGAATTTTCAAATCTATTTTAGATTTGGAAGAAATCAGAGTCAGTAAGGTCTAGGAGAATCTAGTAACAATTGGGTGATCTAATTATGATTTTGATCACATGAGTAGATAGCTAAGACGTTAAGGAACCCGTACAACTTTACAGAATTGAATTCGAGTGAGTAAAATTCTCAAAACTAATCTTAGCGTGAACGGGTAGAATTTCTGAGTGTCATGGGTTGAAGGTGTGTTGTGAAAATAGAGGTTTGAAACTCTTATATCGACTCATTGGTTTCATGCAAGTTGTTGTTGTGGGATTATTTCCTCCAGGGCGGGGCCATTGTGGCGGGATGGGGGCCGCCCTAGCTAGCCAGTCGGAAATTAACCCCAAAAAATATTTTATTCTGCACTTTTCTATTTTGAGAGCTAAGGAACGATCCCAAGTGTTTTCTTAACAGTTTTCCACCATTCATGAGGCTAAAGGTAGGCTTTCACTTTCAGAATCTATTTTTTGATCCATAGAACTTAATTTTTTGGGTAATTATTGTTAGAAAAGGGTTTAGGAATCCTAATTTAGATATTGGGATCATGAATTTGATTTAGGGTTGATAGAGTTGATTGTAATCCGCGTAATTAGACATCGTTTATTGATTCCTATGTAATATTAGTTATTTGTAGACCAAGAACAAGCAGAAAAAATTCGGAAAGGGAAGAATCAAGTTTCTTAGGGAATTCAAGGTTTGTAAGAGGTAGGTGATGGTTGTGATTTCATGTTGTTTATGTTTGTTCTTGCTTCATTATGATATATACCTGGATGTATGTGAATATTACATCATAAATCACACTAATCGTAAATGGGGATAGACGGATAATTGAATGTCATGAATCATGACTTGATTGTCCGATTATGAGAATATACTTGTGATTGTGCTTGTTGAGTGGATTGAGTGTTGCGTTCCGACACAGTGAGATCGGTAGCCACATACCAGCATAAACATTGGAACGAGCGTCACAAACACACTAACTTGAAATGGGTACCACGTCCCGATACACTAAAATTTGAGTGTGAATTCCATGAAAGGACCATTGACTTGACATAACTGTATATCTTGAGAATTGTGAAATTGTACGTTGTTCGTAAATGATGTTGATATTGCATATGTTCGATTTATGCATGTTATTATTATTTTGTAACAGCTTATATATGTTGCACTTAGTGGGATAGTCACGTGATAATACACTGCGGTTGTGTACAGATACAGCACTTACTCTTTCTTTGTTGAGTACATGACATCTTCAAGCGGTCATTGACAGATCTCATTTAGAAGATCAATGATCGTCATCGAATTCAAGGGTAAGTCAGTTCTTCCGAGCTGCCATGGGTTCTCTTTTCGTTTATGTTCCCATTTCGGACTTAAACTAGTACATTATGATTTTCTTATGTTTAATTGGATTGTACCCATTTTCTTAGATTTGTTGAACTTTACATGTGTTGGTACATTGATTTTTTAGGTTCTAGATATTATTCTGTATTTGTTTGATTAAAATTTTGGAGTCTATGATAAATTTATTTGCTTTAGCATTTAAACCTTCCTTTGTAATTTCAAATGCCTAGTTTTGATTAAGTTGTGTAGTATTTGGTTAGCTAATTAGTATTAATTGTTCTCTCATCGCCAATTACAATGATTTGAATCGTCACAATTATAATTGTTGGAGGACATGGACTATCCTTAACCAACAGACTACATTATAAAAGGTTCACACAATAGAGGGGGAAGCTATTTAGCTTATAAAAAAATTATATTTTTCATATTGTTTTTCCTCATGAAAGGTATTTGTCACCTATTTGAAGCAAGGATGTTGTGAACGGTAGGAGGTAGGAGGTTACACAGAATTGACCTATTTATAGAGTTATTTATGATAGATACATGATATTGACTATCTCATTTTTCGTTCTATTTTAATTCTGAACCAAAAAAAGAAAAGTGATTTAACTTCTCAGCTAGAGTTGGTGAATTAAACCTTTCACTTCGCAAAAAAAA